TCATTCCAGTTGTCACATGACGTTCTTGAGGGTGGCACTGAAGAGTTTTGGTGAAATGGTATCACCCTGCCAAACCCCTCTCTCAACATCGATGATCACTTCTTTGTAGAATGGTGAGATCCTGGTAGTGAATCTGTAATTCAGCTCATGGAGGATCCTGATGTACTGAGTTTGAATGCCCTGATTGGCTAGGGCTTCGATGACTGCTTCCATCTCAACAGAATCAAAGGCCTTCTTTAAATCAATGAACCTTAGACAGAGAGGCATCTTGAACTGCTGAGAAACCCCAACGAGCTTGGTTACCATGTGGATATGATTGATTGTGCTGAATCCTTTTCAGAACCCGGCTTGCTTGCATGGTTGTCCTTCGTCTAGTGTTCTGCCAATCCTATTTAGGATGACTCGAGTGAACAACTTGTAGATGACAGACAATAGGCAGATTGGGCGATAGCTGCTAATGTCGTGGATGTCTCCCTTCTTGTACAGTAGTACAATCCTGCTGGTTTTCCATTGGGACGGAACCTTGCATTCAGACAGGTAGCACATGAAGAGCCGAGCCAGTGTATTGATGAGTACAGATGGCAGGTTCTTCAGATATTCAGGTCTGACCTTGTCTGGGCCAGGTGCTGTTCGTTTCTTTACCAACGAAATGGCGTGTTGGATTTTGGAAGGGAGAATGTTGGGAATGACATATCTATCCTGTGGAATTTGGTATGTGGGCAGGTGAATGTGGCTATCAAAGAGATCTGAGTAGAAGTCATGGATAATCTTCTCCATTGCCCTTTTGGAAGATGTGATAGATACATCAGGACGTCAGAGAGCAGTTATCTTGGTCTTGTAGTTGGTGAAGGACAGTTGTGAATGCTTTTCTGCCACATCTACCAGTACTGCTGCTCTTCTCTCTTTGAGATCTTCCTTTATTGCATCTCTGCACTGCTTTGCAAGCTTGGACATTCACTTGTGGTTGCCTGAGGCATGCGCCAAACCACGTTGGTGAATAAGCTCAAGAGTTTTCGAAGACAGGCATTTTTTTTTTTTTGTGACTATCTCTCTCTTGGCATTCCTCGCACAATCATGGAGGTGCTGGACCAGTCGATTGTATTCCTCATCAATGTTGTCAATGACGGCATCTTCGCATATTGCAGCAATAGTGCCAAAGACCTCCACTACCTCCACTACCCAGCCGCCGCCACACTACAGGATGCTTTCCAGACGTTCAGGCCGAGACTCACGTACGAGTGAAGCCTCGCAGAACAAGATAAGTGGAACTCTGAGACCTTGGACTCCAGGCTCAACGGACCCGGGGATGGAAATCCTCTGCCTGCTCCCACCAACCACAGGTGACAAAGAGATTAAAACCAGGAGCCCCACACTACCCTGCCCTGTCTGCTTCCACCAACCGCTGGAGACCAGGGATTGGATTATTCACAGAAGACCCACCCTACCGGTACCAGATAAATACCTCACCAGCAGACCTCCACTACCTCCACTACCCAGCCACCGCCACGCTCCAGGACGATTTCTGGACACATCATAAGACACTTAATACCCATCTTCCAGGATTGCCACATCATATTTGATAGGGTTTAAATATGGTTTGAACCATGGGAACACCTGCAAGGGTGATTAGAGGCTGCCCCAAAAGCCTCTATCCCTCTTGGAGAGCCTGGCAAGCTACTGAGAGTATCCCGCCTGCATGGCAGAGCCTGGCAAGCTATCTGTGGCATATTCGATATGCCAAAACCAGTAAATACAATGAGGTCTCATTCCCCTGATCCTGAAGAAGTCACCAATACAGCAGCATTGAGAAGGATGTGGAAGGAGAGACTGATAAAATCTCAAAGCCGAACTAGGCTGCCAAAATGAAGAAAGACAAAAATGATTGTCTGTACTTTCAATACACATACACTGGCATCAGATGCATCCATTGAGGACCTGATGGTACAAGTGCGAAAGATCAAGTATGACATCATTGGTCTGACCGAGACAAGAAGGCATCAATCACATCACGCCGTTTTTGACACTGGAAAAAGAACCGTTCCTCGGAACATGTGACAAAAGAGGCATTGAAGGTGTTGGTGTCCTTGTCAACACAAACTTGGCCATGAGCATTGATTCATTCGAATGCCTAACAACCTGAATCAGATGATTACACTTGAAGAGATGTGGCTCACTGCCGGCAGTTTTTATCTTCGTTGTCTACGCACCAACATCCAATTATGATGAAGAAGAAATTGAAAAGTTCTACATGGAGCTGGAGAAGTTCTATAAAGAAGACCACACCTTCTATAAGATCATTGTCTGTGATTTTAATGCCAAGATAGGACTGAGAAGATCAGCCGAAGAACTCTACATTGGGACCCATGGCCTAGAATGGAACAAACAGGGTGAGAGACTGAGTTCATCATGTTGACCAAGATCATCCATGGTAACTCACAGTTCCAGAAGGCCGAATCTAAACGTTGGACATGGGAGTCTCCAAGGGACGGTTCCACAATGAAATTGACCACATCATATTCAATTGACAGTTTTGCCTGACCAATGTCACTGTTGTCCCAAAATTCCAAATGGGATCTGACCACTGTCTCCTTCGTGCAAAATTCTACTTCACAGAGCATGGACCGGGACTTGACATTTCTGAAAATTCTTTCACATGAACCACTTAATGCTCAAAGCTCAAAATAGTTACAGATTTGCCAGCAAACAAAGGGAGGCTTCGAGAATTTAAGTTTACATTGGCCACGCAACTGAGAAGTGGAATCTTGATTTGAACCCATGTGACAAGTGTGATTTATATCCTTTGCTGCTGGGCTAGTGATGTGTCTGGTAATTATCAGTTTCTGGTACTGCTGAGCTGATGCTAGGCTTTCAAAACTCACTGTCGAATCATCTGCACATTCTGGTATTTCTCGTTCCTCCTTTCCCCCAATTAAGACTTTCACTGATTTCCACCCTTAAGTCTTAGTGGTAGTGGTTGGGTTGCAGGAGGAACCGGAAACTTTACCGGCTGTGCTAATGCCTCCCATGATTCTCTCTGGTGGCCTGGCCCCAGCTTCTGGGAGTCATGGGAGAGTTGGCAAATGTCCGCCCTGCTATGACACATTTGAGCTGGCCCAGCCTCCTGGCCCAAGCTCTCTGGTTCCACACTAGTGGTTCTTCATGGATTATGGCTTTGTGGGTAGCCTGGAAATGCGATGGCTTTCCTAATGGGGGGGGGGGTGCAGCACAAGCAAGGCATTTGTAAACACAGGAGTGACTGTGCAGAACACAAATGCACAGGAGAGTCCCCACCAGGGATCTGGCTGAAAGGGTCAGCAGTACTAAAACTCGAGAGAGAGTCCTGTTCTATGTGTCCTGCAATTTTACCTGCCCTGGGGAAAAACACAGGTATACTTTATCATTAGTTGCTGTACTGAACACAGGGATTCTGTCTCGAATAGTCCAGATAACTCACGAGTCTCTCTTTAGATTGATCTGTTTCACTTCCTCAAATGCCTTAATTCAACCCTTGATCAACCCTTAAGTACAAAAGATGACACAGGTGAGATAAAACGATCCAGAGTTTCCATAAGACATTTGATTAAATGAGAAAAATCGTGCAGGATCTAAGATTTTGACGTCTAAGATTTTAATGTCTGAGTCCCAGGCATGGCTCATTCCTATTTTGGATTCCATAACATTCGCCCCTCCTACACACACACACACACACACACACACACACACACGCACACGTGTGTGCACGCACGTCAAATGATTCCCTGAACCATACATGAAAATAGTGCATGGAAACAGACAAATGGCATGGCTGAAATACACAATTCACATATGAATGCAGCTGGAAAAATATTTTCACCGTGAAAAACTTGACAACATCAACTGTAAGCTATCCCAGCAGGATCAAACTGAAGAAAGAAAGGGAGAAAACCCAAGAATCAAAACACTTTCAAGAAACCAGGTTCAAGGCACTCGGGCTCAGCATTTCAGCACTGGTGCCATATTTAAAGCAACATTTTTTCAAAATCTGAGCTCCTTGGAAGCCAGAGAGTCTCCTGGACTGTAAGGATTTGCAGTATCTGTTCATGATCACACGTCAGCAGCAATTCAGACACGGTGTTGTCAAGGAAGAAAACTGAAATTTCTATAATCCTCACCAACACTATTTCCACCAAGAAGTGGGAACTACCAGGGCTTTTGCTACAGATCAGAAGTCCCCCCACCCGCTCACAGCTGTACTTCTTAGCAAAATTCCCAAGAGCAGTGTTCTCTGTTACTTTTGGACAAAGCTTAGTTCAAATTAGGTAGTCAACTGGTGTGGCTAATTTGAGTGTGTGGTTCTTATTTCTTCAGCAGAACTTTCATGCAATGATCTTAACAAAAAGGTCCTTTGAAGTGGAATGCTCTATTAGGTAACACAGATGTTTCTGGGGATTTTATTATGCTCATAAAAATTTTATGACACTCATAATAACAATACTGTGAAATAACAATTTTCTGTGGTCAGTATCATGGGCAGCGGGCATGACGAAAACAGAAATATTGCACGTGGAAGAGTGGACGGCAGCTCTGAGCTAGAATAGGGGCACAATGGAATGAGATTCTGGCCACTCACTCATTTGTCCCCAGCTTCTTAGTTTTTGGAGGGGAGGCACATCCTGCAATGCTCAGCGTTTACTCCTGAGGTCCATACTCAGGGATCACTTGGGTGTGCTCAGGGGATCATTTGTGCCAGTTTTTAAGGCATATATTTTTGCCTGTTTTGTTTTTTGCCTACAATCAGCAGTGTTCAGGCTCTGCACTCAGGGGCACTCTAAGGTGGGGCTTGGGGACCATCATATTTGATGCTGGGGATTGAATCTGGGACTGCTGCATAAAACACAAGTGCCTTACCCATTGTACTATCACTCTGACCCATATATATGTATATGAGAGAGAGAGAGAGAGGAAGAGAGAGAGAGAGCTTATTTATACCTCAATCATGCATGAATGAAACAATTACTTACCCAACAAATCTGAGGCTCTTAGGTTTTCTCTCAGAAACATAACAGAAATAATGGCACTACCTGGAAAGAAAAAGGATATTAGTGGAGTCAAGGTAAAGCTGGGCAAGAAGTTTAGTGAGGGTGATTTTGCCTGACTGTTGGGCCGTCGCATCCTACCCGATGCGGTAACCCACATGCACACATGAACACACATGGACATGGCTTTACAGTGGGCCTCGGGCAGTGGTGGGGATAGCGTTCCATTTGCAACGAGGGATTCAGATGAGCTTGCTAAATGAATGAAGAATGAACCAGCAAAACCCACCCCCAGTCACTCACAGACTGAGGACAGATGACAGGAGAAGGTACAGGCGAGATCGGTGTGTGCGTGTGTGTGCGTGTGTGTGTGTGTGTGTGCGTGTGTGTGCGTGTGTGTGTGTATCTGTTGGGGAGGCAATGGGACACAGGTGGGAGTCTGTGAATCCTGTGGATATAATATTGATATATTCAGCAAGACCCTTTAAATTCTACAATGCTTTCAGCTAATTAAACATCGATTAAAAAATACACAACCAGGAGTCAGAATGATAGCACGGTGGGTAGGGCATTTGCCTTGCACACAGCCGACCTGACCCAGAATGCATCCCATATGGTCCCCCAGCACTGCTAGAAGTAATTTCTGAGTGCAGAGCCAGGAGTGATCTCTGAGCACTATACTGCACAGAAACAAAAACAATTAAAATTATAAATCAAATACACACCTATATACATTTATATAGATATACAACCAAAAAAAAATCATCAGAAAAGAATTCTGGGGTTGGAGCAATAGTACAGCAGGTAGGGCGTTTGCAAACGGTCCAGGTTCTATTCCCAGCATCCATATGGTCCCCTTGGGCAACACCAGGAGTAATTACTGAGTCCACAGCCAGGAGTAACCTTTGTGCATCACTGGGTGTGACCCAAAAAAGAAAAAAAAAAGAATTCCTCTTCTAGAGAAAATTGCAGTTAATATGCAAGTGTTCTTATTTTACTGTTGTTGAAATTAAATTTAATGCAATCTTTCTTTTTCTGTTTCTTTAGTGACTGTATTATGAACCATTTGCTGTGTCATTAAAAAGATCTTCAGACATATAATTTTAACAAGGCTGTATAATTATCTATCAAGTCAAAATTAAATATGAATATAACTATATCTGCTGTTTAGGCAATTGACTTAAAAAGAAAATCCTCAGGGGTATGGTGCCGCCAGCAGGTCAATCTGTACCTGTGAGGCGAGTGCATCAGCAGCCTGATGGTGCCTTCAGAATTTCAGATACCCCAAAATTGCTGCTGTGCCTTTGTCCAGACCCCAAAAACTTGGGGCAAAGTTTACCAAGAAAGTAAACAGCCAAAAGTTAGGTATGTGGGAGACAAACCCACAAACCACCTTGGGGTCAGCTATATAATTGGAGGCATGGCCGCTCTGGTTCCTGATCGAACTGCTTAATGGCCATGATCCCGAGACTCAGAAAGGAATCTCGGAACTCAAAGGCCTTTGGCAGAAATGCATCCTGTTCCTGCAGTAGGTTACTGGCGCTGGGCCACTCCAGGTGGGAATAGGTTTTATGCCTTGGCCTGTTCCCCCTGGCGGCCTGGTGACCGCCATCCTCCAGAGGCCACTGGACAGTCAGGTTTGGACCTGCAGTGACGAGACTTGCGGGGCCTCACCAGATGGGGGTGGAACCAGCCCTTTACTCCCCATCCCAATGAGACGTCAAGTTGGCGCCTACAAACGGCCTCTCTGGCTCCTGATCAAGTTGATTAATGGCCATGATCCCAGAGACTCAGAAACAAATCTCGAAACCCAGCAGCTTTTGGCAGAAATGCATCTGGACTGCATACAAGGTGGCTGCCACCTCAGAGCTTATTGGAAAGCCAGGTATGAGCTGGCAGTGATGGGGAAACTGCAGTCTCATGGGAAGGTGGGGGCAATACTGGCTCGCCCTTCACACCCTACCAAGGTCACGAGTTGCCCCCCACGAGCGGCTCTCCAGCATGGCCATGGCTCCAGAGGCAAAAGGACTTAATCCAGAGCCCAGCAGCTTGCGGCAGAAAAGTAAATGGACCATGCATTAAACTATGGCATCATGACTCCCTGGGAAGGAAAGGGTGTTGCTTCTATCCGCCTTCCCCCTGCCCCTGTCCTCCCCCCCCCCCCCCCCCCCCCCCCGCAGCAAGGTGGCCGCTGCCTCAGAGCTTATAGGAAAGCTAGGTATGAGCCGACAGTGATGGGGCAACTGCAGTCTCATGGGAAGGGGAGCGGTACTGGCTCGTCCTTCACACCCTACTGAGGTCACAAGTTGCCCACCACAAGTGGCTCTCCGGCACAGCCATAACACCAGACACACAGAAACCAATCTTGTAATTATCTGGCTCTTTGCAGAAATCCAAAATTGTGTGGCCACAATAGTGGCCATGCAACATTATATGATTCTCATAACCCGCTATAGAAAACAAAGTATTTCACAATGTTTTTTTTCAGCAATTCTGATTGTTGGGGGAGAAATTCTAAACAATAATGGTGAATCTTTTGTCGAAATAATGAACGTAATCAATGTAGAGAAGAGTTAAGTAGAAATCATCTGCCTCACAAGCATTGGGAGGGGTGAGAAGGGAGGTATATTGGGGTTCTTGGTGGTGAAAAATGAGTACTGGTGAAGGGAAAGGTGTTTGATCATTGTATGATCGAGACTTAAACCTGAAAGCTTTGTAACTTTTCCCACAGTGATTCAATAAATAAATATAAGAAGAAAAAAAAAATTTTTGAAACAAAAAGTAAGGTGGAGTTCATGCCCAATTCAATCAGCTGGAGCGATAGCACAGCGGGTAGGGCGTTCGCCTTACAAGCGGCCAACATGGCCGACCCGAGTTCGATTCCTCCGCCCCTCTTGGAGAGCCCGGCAAGCTACCGAGAGTATCTGATATGCCAGACACAGTAACAGCTAATCAGTGGCTGAATAAATAGCAGTACTCCTACATTAAAAAAAAATAAATAAAATCCTCACCAGGAATCTTTAAAGTAAGAAATGTTTTTCCCATCATTTTTTTGGGTGGTGATGGTGGTGCTGGGGATCGAACCCAGGGCCTCACAAAAACAAGCATGTGCTCTCTTCTTTTTTTTAAATTTAAATTTTATTTTATTTATCTCCCTCTTGGAGGGCCCAGCAAGCTACCAAGAGTATTCCACCCACACGGCAAAGCCTGGCAAGCTCCCTGTGACGTATTCGATATGCCAAAAACAGTAACAACAAGCCTCACAATTTGTTGTGAGATGTTACTGGTACCCACTCGAGAAAATTGATGAACAATGGGAAGATAGTGCAGTGCTTTATTTTTGAAGCACATGCTCGTCTGCTGAACTACTGCCCCGGCCCTATTTCCCATGTATTTTCCTCATTTTATTCAAACTAAGCACACTTTTCCTGGGCAGGTTCATGCTATTTTGTGTGTGTGGATTCGGGGGGCACTCCCAGTGGTGCTCAGGGGGTTACTCCTGGTATACTGATTAGGAAGCATTGCTGGAAGTGCTTGGGTATAACGCAAAGGTGGGGTTCAAGTCCAGGCCTTCTGCACGCCCTCAGGCCCGGGGAGGGGACACTCACACAGAGTGGACAGGGTCTGGGACACCAGCAGGCAGCATGGACTTCACTGGGGGGGGGGGGCGAGTGAGGTACTTTAAAATATTCAAGATAAACAAATACATAACCCACGAAATCAAGAACCGAGTTTGGGATCAGGGCCAGAGGGTAGCAATATTTTAATTTTTTTTTAAGTTTTGAAACTAAAACTTAAGAAGCCGGGAAAAGCATTTGTAACACCCGCCTGTCCTTTGCCAACTACAAGATCAAGATAACTGCTCTCTGACATCCTGATGGATCTATCACATCTTCCAAAAGGGCAATGGAGAAGATTATCCATGACTTCTACTCAAATCTCTTTGATAGCCACGTTCACCTGCCCACATACCAAATTCCACAGGATGAATATGTCATTCCCAACGTTCTCCCTTCCAAAATCCAACACGCCATTTTGTTGGTAAAGAAATGAACAGCACCTGGCCCAGACAAGGTTAGACCTGAACACCTGAAGAACCTGCCATCTGTACTCATCAATACACTGGCTCGGCTCTTCACTCGCTACCTGTCTGAATGCAAGGTTCTGTCCCAATGGAAAACCAGCAGGACTGTACTACTGTATAAGAAGGGAGACATCCACGACATTGGCAAGTATCTCCCGATCTGCCTATTGTCTGTCATCTACAGGCTGTTTACTCGAGTCATCCTGAATAGGATTGGCAGAACACTAGATGAAGGACAACCATGCGAGTAAGCCGGGTTCCACAAAGGATTCAGCACCATCGACCATATCCACACGACAACCAAGCTCATTGAGGTTTCTCGGGAGTTCAAGATGCCGCTCTGTCTAACGTTCATTGATTTAAAGAAGGCCTTTGATTCTGTTGAGACGGAAGCGGTCATTGAAGCCCTAGCCAATCAGGGCACTCATACTCAATACATTGGGATCCTCCATGAGCTGTATTACGGATTCACTACCAGGATCTCACCATTCTACAAAGAAGTGATCATCAATGTCAAGAGAGGGGTTCAGCAGGGTGATACCATTTCACCGAAACTCTTCAGTGCCACCCTCGAGAACGTCATGAGACTACTGGAATGGGAAGAAATGGGAGTGAAGATAGACGGTCGGCAACGACACCACCTCCGCTTTGCTGATGACCTCGTTCTAATAACACCATTAGCCAAGCGGCACAAATGCTGGCTAACTTAGACCATGAGTGTGGAAAGGTTGGACTCCAGCGAAATCTCACGAAGACAATGTTTATGAGAAACAGTTTTGTTCCTGATGTTCCATTCACTCTCAACAAAATGACCATCTCTGAATGCAACAGTTATGTGTACCTAGGTAGAGAAGTCAACATGACGAATGACCTGGCACCTGAGTTGTACAGGAGAAAGAGAGCAGCTTGGAATGCCTTCAAGTGCATCGAAGAAATAGCTAAGAGGACAAAGAACCTCCAG